GTATAAGTATGATTTAATGTTGCCAATATATCATATTTAGGAGAGGTATTCAAGCTTTTTCATTCAAGCCAATAAAAGATTGGTAGTCGAATTCTCCCCCAACCATTTGATTTTGTCGTGTTGGGGTGGACTGCAGTTTTGAACCTGTCCTGGTCTCATCATCACCTCAAAAAAGGACCCGAACCCGAGTTGTGGTAGTGCAATTTATAGTTTCGATACTTTAAGCCTTACGTCCTGTAGATCTCATGCATTTGGAAGCAAGGGCAGTCGTGGCAGTTTTGCTTAGTGATACGCGTGTCAGGACTATACACTGCACTAACGCAACTCGGGTTCGAGTCCCACTGGGGTTCCGTCATGGCTGGTTTAGAATAGATTTTGGGAAGCAAAGCTATGCCTACTCATTAGATTATGGGAAAATTCAATTACAACTCATTCGTCAGCTTAGACGAAATGGTGTGAATACATTAAACATACATTCATTCATTCTGACCCTGGTCTCGCTTCTTGTTCTATATTCCACACTTTTGGTGTGGGTTTCTGCAAGAGTTGCTCCTCTTCTATGCGTATTTCGTCCTAATTTTCCCATCACTTGTGCTGCATTTAGGTCTCCACATCCAACCTTTGCTTTTTTCATTTCATATCCGCTCCCTGTAGGAAGTCATAGTGACCACAACTGCTGATTCGCGACGGCTCGTCTCTTGTGGTTGGTCAGTTGGGGCGCGCGAATCCTCCTCCTGCTCGCCCAGCTGGGCTCGGATCCGGCTCGTCCTACGCCAGCCCGTCCCTGACCGGCCTCGTGGTCCGGGTTGAGACTGGACACGGCAGCCATCGCAACCCCCTTCTTCGAGGCATGTGATCGCGCAGTCTTTAGGCGATCGACAAGCGCTACTAGACGCGAGTCCCGCCGGTCCCAACTTTCGCCTGACCTTTCCCGGCTTCACCCGTCGGCAGGCACGAACCCTTTCCTCCCGCTCCACTCCCCATCGGCCTCCCTTCGCCTCCAGCCGCACGCAGCCCTCGGTCCACCACTTGTTCGCCATCTCTCCTAGACAGGCCTGGCAACGGATATATATACACACACACATGCACATACACATGTACATGCCGAGCGCAGACGAGGCTGCAGTCGTGACCGGAGAGGAGAGGATTTCGAGGGATCGTTGTGAACGCTAGAATGTGGAGGCAAAAAGTCACACTCAGCCCACAATGGCACACTCACGTACTCGTCTTTCGCCTCGTACATGTCCTATTCCCCTCGACCTCTTCCAGCCTCGAGCCCCACACGGAGCTGGCTGCTCTTCACCTGGATCCCCTCGGGCAACTCTCGCCAGATCGGCCGGCCCGGACAACCGCACGTGGGTGCACTACTATGCCTCCACACATACATACATACATACATACACACACAAACACCTCCATGTGTCCCCGACAGTCTGGCCGGCACCTTGTCCGCCTGTTGGGCGTTGCGTTTCCCAAGCCTGGCCAGCCGGCGAGCTCGTGCAGCACTCACAAACCGGCCTCTTGTCGACTTGTGACTTTTGGTGTCTGGTACCGACCC